AACTCAGTGAGGGCAAGTTGCAGATCACTTCGGTAAATCATATTAGCGTATAATTTTTGATAACATCATAGTTTTTTATGGAATTTCTAATGGTATTATCTTCACACAACTACTCACTTTATTTCAGCACGTTAAATCTTCATTCCAAAAGAAGTCTTGGACAGTATTAATCTTCGGAATCTAACAAAATAAATATGGTATTAATTTTTAAATATTATACACGTTACATGCTTCAAGTTTAATAACAAATTGTAATCAGATCAAAGTTGACATCAAGTTTTATTCAGACATATGCTTGTCAATAATTGATAAATCATCATAAAGAAGTGGAATTACAAACATTTCTAATAAAAAATGTTACTCACTTTTTTATTTGCTCAATGAAAAAACATTATGAGCCAACCAAATTGATGAATTGTTTATACTGGAACAAAAAATTTTGTTCAAGTTTAATATAAAATATATCTTTTATTAAGCTTCTTTTTATAAGGTTAAATTTATATCAGAAGTACAGTATCACCATATATGTATGTAAGACAGGGATAACTAAAAATCAATCATCATAAAAAATCTTTTTAACATTTCCTATATATAAAAGTACAAAAATTACCTTTCCACTGCTATCTTGCTCCATATTTTAAATTCCTTTCCCAGTTTTTTAGCTCATAAATGTTCCTATTGTTATTCAATTCATGTTGACAACAAATATTCAACCATTTTCATGATTTCCTCCTAAAATTATATAAACATGTACATTATTACTTATTTCTTTTCCAATTATAAAATAAACAATTAACATTTATTATGCAAATATTCAGAAATACACATTCTACATCATATTTCTGTTTGACTGAGGCATGTTGTACTCATCATATTTATTTATAACAAACAAAAAATAACAAAAACATTTTCAATAATTTTAGTTAAAATGGGCATAGAAAAACTTACTAGTGTAATGTCCCTGGGTACTCTGGGTTCCTTCGTAGGCGGGTATTTGCGAATCTCTTAAATTCCTCATCTGAGTGGTTCAGACAGTGGCCACCAGATGTCTCATCGAAATCTTCTCAAATCTCCAATTCTTACACAGGTGTTCACTTCAGTCCTCATTTCTGTATATATCAGCTTCAAATCTTAATATTCCAAGCGTCTGCATCAACCCTATTGGTGAGTCTACCATACAATCCTGATACGAAATGCCTCACCCTTCTTCCGCATCCCTGTATGACCCCTCACCTCGAGTAGTAATGGCGCTAAAGGCCGATAAACCGCAGGGTAAAGATCTCCAGCTTATTGAGTACCTGTCTTTACTAGGGAAGCGGAGCGTAATAGAGGATTCATTGCAAACTGCCATATTCTTGTTCCTTTTGGCTGAAAAAGAATAAATAAGTTGATTCACGCGTAGTGGTAAATTAAACAAATGATCTATACATTCATGTACTTTCAGAAATCTGAATCAATCATAACCTGTCAGACTGGGGCAGTATTTTTAACATCATTTGGAATAAAAAATAATTTACACGTACATTTTTCGTCAAGATTCGAATTTTCGTAAAAATGAATTTAAGATGTATGGGAACATTTCAAGAAATAGACGAAACAAATGGTAGATAGTAGAAATGGAAATGGTAGATAGTAGAATTAAAGCGTTTGTCTGACTAAGTTTAGCACTATTTATGCTTTAAACAAACTAGAAAAAAACAAATTGAATTCCTAATGATTGGTTAAATTAAATCACGAAGTCATTCAAGTGCATCAATATATATTCAGAATCGTATTTATAGGTTTGTAATCAAGGAATACATCATACGAACGAGACTATCTGTATCATCATATAAGACAAAATTTCAACGAATGCAACAGCAAATTAAAAAAAATATAATCGTAATTGATATGCTAGGATGCAAACTGTTTAAGAAATGTTCTTTTTTTTGTGTTTTATGCAACTATGCACATGGATGGAGATTGATTGTTAAAAAAAAAAACCGCTTACCTTCAACCATCTTTGAGGAACTCCAAAACGAAAGTGAACTGCTTTTTCAACGCGGTTCAAATGGAAAATGGCCTTGGTTCACGTAAAGTGAAGAGTGTTCTAACATTGCATTGAAATGCCCCCTGGTGGAACTATTCTACAATAAAATAGGAATTTCATTGATGGAATAAATACTACAATATTTTATAAATATAATTGCAGTATGTGTATGTAAATACCAATTGTTATCAATCCCGATGGTTACTTAAATGTAGTAATGAGATATATTAATCATGAATGTACATGTGTGTATAATTATATGTATTGTTACGTAAAATTATTTCATCTGCGTTTGACGAGGTCTCTTTTTTGGCCTACGCACCATGAATTTCGCGACGGTTTCCCTCTTTCGTACGGAATGAACAAAAATAGTAAAACTCTTTCTTCCACTGTTTTCCTTAAGCGCATGCCTGCAGGTCGGATAAGATACCAATCGCTGGTAACATATCGGTTGCAACATAGAAAGTAATGAAGTAATATCGTCGATGAAATACGTGATGTCAATGTAGTAAACTGCCTCTTCGATGTAATTACTCTTCGAAAAGATTAATTAGAGGTTGAATAATTAAAATATAGGACTAAAATCAGGACTTAAACTAGAGAGCAGAGCTTGTAACTTAATTTAGATTTAGAACAATTATACTTGGAATACGAATGGACACCAGAGTAGCCAGAGTATGTGAATTATCTGAAAGTCAAAACTGAATGAATGTTTGTTATCCTGGAAAACAATGTATGCGTGTACATGGATCATCTCTCGCATAACGAAAAACCAATTGAAGGGAAATTAGTAAACAAAAGAATAACGTTTGAGCTTTCTAGGTGCTTCCGGGGATTTACGCGGGCGCATGAACTGTCACTTTACATACAAATTACAACTTAACAATAGGCACGAGATATATTTAAATATAAAGTAAAATTATAATTATCGTTACATTATTTCGCTATGAATATGTATATGAGTAAGTCCATTGAAACTAGGAAGGGTGAATTGGCATAAGAATCGCAAAGTGTGAATTGCGAACTTCATGGCTGCTTCGCATGGTCCATGGTGTATAAACGTCACAGTATACATGCATGTAGAATATTCCAATTATCTTTCTGTATGAGTTATTGTTAAATAAACGACATAATTTTTATTGCATAGAAAGATTAATTTTATCATTTCCTTATTAAATTCATTTTTGTTATGTGTGAATATACCTTAACGGAGTACTGGGTAAACGACATAATTTCGTACGTTTTGAAACATAAAAACATGTGATATGATGCAAGACAACCGGTTGACAATTAAAGAGCAATAATAATACAAAATTTCGTGGTAGTACAGCTGTTTTAAAATGAACGGTTTATCAGAGGAAGATAGCTCCGATAGTAGTAGCGAGTATTCGGTTGATCCAGATAAAATTAAACCAAGTTCCAGCTTCTTCATAGAGAAAAAGGCGAAGGTCACGAAAGCCGCGAGTAAAAGTGACAGTGAGAATGAAAGCACCGATGATACAGAATTAGAAGATGCCAGTCAAGGAAATAATATTGAACTATTCACTCAAGTGTTGAAGAATTTAGAGTATTCACAGAAACTTGAAGTTAAGGATGAAAATGTCGAGAAAAAACAGTCATTCTCAGACTCTTCCATATCGCAGAAGGAAAAAGAGAAAGCACAGAAAATGAAAATAGAAGTAAATGCTACCTCTTCTTTCAATGAAATAGAAGAACTTTTACTTCAGGGTGAGACTAGTGTAAGTTCTCCATCCAAAAAAGGTGTTGGAGCTGTAACTTTAAAGAATGAAAAAGATACTGAAGTTCCCACTGAATACACTATTCCTGAAGATGGTGTTAAAATCATTCTGCCTGGTACCAGTGTGATGTTAAACAGAAGGAAAAAGGGAGGTCAGGATCTAAAAGCAATTTTGAGGAAACGATTAAGGGCTAGCCAAATATTAGTAGAAAAGGTAGGATTGCTATGTTGGTTGGCATATGGGTTTAATTTGAACCATCAAATTAATCAGCCTGAAATAATGTCTGGTGTATTATCATTAATTTCAACTTGTAACTACCCAAAAAATAGAATTGATCTTTCATATTTAGAAAAATTCACAAAATGGTTTAAGAATGTATTCACATTTGAGGCTATTGAAAGCAGTGGCAATGGACGAATAGATAAAGAAACATTGTTAAAGATACTGCAGGAAAAGAAAATTTCTAATTACAAGGAGCTGGTACTGTTGTACATTGCTACACTAAGAGCTCTGGGTTTAAATTGTCGGCTGGTTATATCTCTTTGTCCTCCTCATCGGGCATTTAGTGATGATCCATTATTTAAAGTTGTCACAAAAGGACAAGAAACTGAATCAAAAAGTAGATCTAAGGGACAAACTTCAAAGAGAAACAAAGAAAAGGAGAAGAAAGCTTCTGATAAAACATTAGTTCAAAATGGTTCAGAGGCAAAAAAAAATGCCAACATTGAAGCTAAAAAAAGGGCAGCTGAAATTTTGCACTCAAAGTCACAGAGAAAGGCAAAAAAATATAAGTCTGATACTAAAGAAGATTCCAAAGCTGAGAATGAGGAAACTAAACAATCAAATGCTAAAAGTAAAGAAAAGAAAAACGAACCTAAAGTTGTAGAACAAGAAAAGAGTTTATCTAGCTTAAGGCAATTAAGATATCGCAAAGTTAATGGAAACTCTGAAGATAACAAAGCAATACAATCCACAGATCCATCTTCAAAGTCTGATGGTACAAAAATAAAAAATTATATAGAAGAAGATTCAACAACTGACTCTGATTCAGAATTTCAACCTAAATCAAAGAATTTAGCAAAAAAGTATTGGAATGATGATAAAAAAGAAGTACCAAAACATTCTAAGAATGTTAAGAAAAATAATAAAAAATTAATATCCTCTGACAGTGAAGACAATGAAACAAATAAGACAAAGAAAACACAAAACATTTGGGCTGAAATATATTTAGAATCAGAGGAAAGTTGGATCTGTGCTAGTGTGATGGATGAAAAAATCCATTGTGTAACTGAGGTATATGTGAGTAGTCTGCAAATTAATTTACATTATGTTTTCAAAAATATACTGTTTCTTTCAAGTTATTATCATTATGATAATAATGATTCTATCATATTACAGAAAAAAGCAGAAAAACCTGTATTGTATGTAGTAGCTTGGAACTCTGAAAGTTTAATAAAGGATGTGACTAGGCGCTACTGTCCACACTGGCTCACAATAACGCGCAAACAACGTATTGATGAGAAATGGTGGCTGGAAACCCTCTCCTATTGGAAAGAGAAAGATACTGTTATTTCTAAAGCTGAAAATGAAATGCTATTACAAAGGTATTTATTTATTGGGATTTTCTACTCTTTTATATTATACTTAATTTTTATTATAGAGAATTGGAGCAGCCATTGCCTAAAACGATTGGTGAATGCAAAGGCCACCCGTTATACGTCATCGTAAGGCATCTACTCAAATTCGAAGCACTATATCCTCCAGACTGTGTACCTTTGGGTCATACTAATACAGGTGAAGCTATTTATTCGCGTCACTGTGTACATACACTTTGTTCAAGGGAGACGTGGTTGAAAAAAGCCAGGGTCGTAAAACCGAACCAAGAACCTTATAAAATAGTCAAGGCTCGTCCAAAATATGACAAAGTAATATTACTATGATATTCGTCTTTGCTAATACTTATTCTATAAAAAGAAATAATGCACAAAACTGCTTCTTTACAACAGCTGTCGGGAATGAAAATTAAGGACTCTGCTTTGGAAATATTTGGCGAATGGCAGACTATGGAATACGAACCACCGGTGGCAAAAGATGGTATTGTACCACGTAACGAGTACGGAAACGTGGATTTATTCAAACAATGCATGCTGCCAAAAGGCACAGTCCATATAAATCGTAAGTTTCTAAAAAACTAATTAAATATTGTTTCAAATAGTTTTTAAAACTAATATGGTGTGATATACAGTTCCGGCATTGAATCGAATTGCCAGAAAACTTAATATCGATTGTGCACCAGCCGTGGTGGGCTTTAATTTTGGGAGTATGGGTGCGGTACCAGCATTAGAGGGTTATGTTGTTTGTACTGAATATGAAGATACATTACGAGAAGCTTGGGAAGCTGAGCAAGTAGAAGCGATTAAACGAGCGAAAGAGAAGCAGGAGAAACGGGTTTATGGAAATTGGAAGAGGCTGATTCACGGTTTGCTCATAAGGGAGCGACTAATAGCAAAATACCAGTTTTCGAAGGAAATAAAAACAGTAGCTAATAAAAGAACGAAACACAAGAATACAGATGTGAAGAAAAGTAAAGTCTCTTGAACTTCAAGTACTGATATATATATTAAATATATGGTATTAAAGATGTTAGATCTAATATTAGAGAATCTTGCAAAGCAGCTTTTGTTTCATTCAAAACATTTTTTGTTACTTTTGTTACTTTAATGTTAGCATTTTTCTTTGCCTCAGAACTATTTTGAACTAACGTTGTTTTATCAGAAGTTTTCTTCTCTCTTTCTTTGTTTCCTTGAAGATTTCCCTTTGATTTACCGTTTTATTCAGTTTCTTGCCCTTTTGTGAATGGAGGTTTCTGTAAATTATAAAAGTTGTACAGTATTGTGATATAAACATATATACTATCAAAGTAGATTGTTGGACTTTTATGCATGAGTATATTTTTAGAAGATACTGATTTTTTGTTTTTATATTTTTCGAATTGCATTTTTTATAATTTATATTCAAATACAATTTCTATATTTTTTTAATAATAATTGTTATGATTGTTTTGCGTGTTATTTACAAATAGATATTAAGTGTTTTTTAATGCAATGTATTATTAATAACTAATATTTAAATTATATCAAGTCTTTCTATATAATGTATATAAAGAGCAATTTTTGTAAAATTGTATGAATAAATTGATATATTTGTGTATACCTTGTGTCCATTTTTTAAAACCTTTACTGTTTGAACTTCGATATATCGATGTGTAGCAGGTGAATGCATCGATGATGAAAGGTGGAATTTAAACTTACTGTACATACAACAGTGTTTGCAGAAAAAAGAGAACATTTAAGTTCTTCATAGTTAAATTTCTGTTTCTCAATCGCTCTAAATTGTTTAATATAATATGGACCAAGATTATTATTCTACTTTGTATAAATGGTAAATATATTTCTGTAAAAATTTAATAATATAAACCAAAAAGTAAAGGTTATGTCGTGAAAATATTTAATTAAAGTTTATACTTTATTATTTGAATTCATGTTTCAAGGTTCGAAAAATGTGGAATAATATCGAACGTAAGAACGCACCTTCGTCAGAACTTGATATATGCGTTAAAAAATAAAGATATTGTTCTCAAAAACAGTGGTCCTAAATCTGCAAAACAGTATGTTTATGATTTATTAATAGCAGAGTATTTGTTTAATCATAATTACGCTTATACCTTATCAGTATTTGCCAGTGAAGCACCACTATTAATAGATTTTTCTAATAAGACAGTTCAAAGGTCTGATGGCAGTGAGAAGGATCATAATGAAAAATTACAAAGTGATTATGTACTGCATGCTTTGGAAACATTAGGTATCAATCCCCATGATAGCAAAGGACAATATGTTATATCACAATATGTTGAAAATGATATGCCACTCCTTTTGTGTATTTTGAAATGCATAACAATGTTCTCTTACAATGTACATAATGACATACCAATTAAAGAAAATGTATCTCTTTGTAATGAATCTACTCAAACTGAATTTTCCTGGCAATCCCACAATTTGCATGTACAGAAATTAGTTACACTGAAAAGAAAAATATCTGTGCACAAACAAATGATTGAAGATAAATTAAGAGAAAGGGAAATGATGTTAAAGGAACAAGCAGTGCTCATTGAAGAACAACTTGAAGTATTAAATGCAAAATTACAACAGATTCAGGTATACATGATTTTAGTCCTGTAATTGAAAAAGTATATATTCTTTATTAACAAATATTTTAATTTCTTAGAATGTTATGCGAGCTATGAGTTTAAAACAAAAACAATTGAGAGAAGAAAAACAGAATAGTGAACAGCAAATTTTACAAAAAGAGATGGAATTAACATTGAAAGAAAGATTATTGATACAAGAAGCAGATAGGTAAATGTACATACATATATTTATTGATAAATCTTTATTAAATTACATGTTTCAATCTTTACAGATTGCAAAGGGCCCAAGATAATTATAAAAAATTGGAAGAGGACCTTAAAAAAATTCACGAACAAAAAGAGATACCACCTTCAACAGAAATATCTAGCCAGTCTTTAAGAAATATTGAAGTGCAAACAGACATTATACACGACATACTGCAAAAAGATAAAATTGACGTTCTAATTAAAGAAAAAGAAGAATTAACTGCTCTTATACAGGCTCAAAAATTAAGAATAGAACAAATAACACAACGCGCTGTGCAATTATCTCGACAAGTAGAAGGGATACGTTCATTGAGACCGACTAGCGTGGAAGTTCCCACGCAAACTATTAATGCAAATACTATTATCAGTGAAAGCAGTTCAACAGAAGATATTCTTCAAGATGCAAGGTTAAGGCTGAAACGTTTAGAGGAAGAAAGTTTAAAAGCAGATCAGTATTACTACAACTTCATCAATAATTCGCCATGATGTAATTTTTACAGTAGTTTAGTAAGCTATTTATTCGAAAAAAGTGTATAAGTTATACAGTACAACAATATTTATATTGATTCTGATACATAAAAAAAATAACGTAATCATCTGTCTTAGTTTTTAGAAGAAACTGGAAATAGTAATTGTAATCAATAGTACAAATGCAGCGTCGATATTTTTTATTGCGATCACCTAGTTTATTTTATAAAATTGGACGTTAATATAATATACAAATTATTCGCTATCTTTTTTCTTTATTATTCGAATTCTACCTTAATTACATGCAACACCAAACGTAGTATATAAAATGTTAAGTCAAATTTTTTCCGTTGTTGTACATCATCTTCGTTTGGGATCCGAACTCCTTCTAGTGCTTAGAATTAAGGATTATATATTTTTTCTTTAGATTATCAAAGAACTGAGTTACGTTAAAAAAAGAGTAAAATTTAAAAAATATAGTATCTTTCTAATATGTATTAAAAAAGGATATTGTTTATCCCGACTTTCGCGGCCTTCCCGTTCATGAGTACGTTCCTTTGTGTAGGGTGACTTTTCCTGAAAATACATTTTCATATGAATCTTCTGAATGCCATGCTATCCTGCAATTGGCGTTTGGGTACTTGATAGTATCACCTAGTTTTTCTGGTCTTTGCTATTGTCTCCCATTTCGTCTTTTCAATGTACTCGAAGCGGACGTCTTTATCAACTACGGGGTCAAGGAATAGTGTTAGAAAAAATTATTAAAAGTTAATTTATATGCAGAATGTCGGGATTAATGCAAAATTGTGATGTTACAGGATTTCTCAAAAAGTGTGACGCGTTATCTCAAAATGTGTCAACAAATTTGTTTTTATCAAATACAGGACCCTTACGCGATTTTTTCTCAAATTTGAAAGACTTATATGGTGCTCTTTTTCGTATGGGAAAGACAACTAATGACCTACTTATGAAATACTCAACAAACGACCATTTTTAGCAATACGCAATATATAAAAAAAAAAAGAAAAAAAAATTCGAAGAAAATATTGTTCGAAATTATTCGAATGTATCCTAGTAAATATATAATGCTCTATATTTTGGATACATGAATAATGAAAAATTCCAATTAGAATTACCAACCTTGTTATAATGATGTTTTTCTCTGTGTTCGGGAATATCACCATTCTGATGTGCTCCTTTTGCTAAAACAATTTAATTTTCGTTATTTATATAACAAAAAAATTTTTTTCAAGGAATTGGAAGTTACAAGAAAAGATACCTTTTTCGTCATCTTTTCTTCTTTTCTGTTCGGTTGCGACTGCCGAGTCATCTGCTCTATCCTATTTTAATACAACAAAAAATGTATACATACATTAAAATATATATTTCAAGAAATATGTTATTTAATGTGTTATAAATACTCTTTTTGAAACATACTCTTTTCCGTGCAAATTTCTTTTCTCTGCGTAGCTCTTTCTGTTCATCCCTTATTTTGCCTTTACTCGAACGCTCCTTTTTATCGAGACTTCCCTCCGTGCGTCGCCCTTCCTATTTTAAAAGTAAAAATTCGACTAGTTTAATAATTTTCATAATCTTTACCTTCAACAATTTTTGTTCATTTAACAATTTATACCTTTTGTACACTTTCAACTTTCCTTCTTTTGGCATCTGAAATTAGAGGATTTTTAATTTACAATCAATTGTGTATATTGAATGCATGCATTTTTTGTTAAACCCTTTTCCTTTACTATGTTATTTTTTCAATACATATTTATCATCCCTAAAAAATACTACAAGAAAGTTTGATTATGCGATGCCGCGACAACTTTTGTGACTTCTTAATGCAAACCTCTATCCGATCCATCCTGTGTTGGTCCAGAGCTAGCACTACTATTTGATACACTAGAAAGATCACGGTCTAAATTATCTACACCACTGCTATAATAATGTTCCTCCTGTAATTAAATTAATATTAAGTACCAATTTGCCTTTTAAATGATATGTAATAATTTGAGCAAGAAATATAATTACCTTATAGTATTTTCGATCTTTCTTATCCATCAGATCATCTTCCTTAATTTCTTCCTTTTTTAAATGTTTATCCTTCCCTTCGGAACTTTCCTTACTCTCCTCCTTTTTCCTAATTTTTTCTGAACTTTCGCTACATTGAACAGAAACGTGAAAAAGAATTTCCTCCATTCATTAAATAACAATCTAAATATTAATTGTGTCACTTACTGATGCATTTGATTCGATGCACTCCGTTTTTCTCGTTGCTCTTTATTTTCTTTCTCTATCCTAGTATCGCCATTTGTAATTTCTTTATTTGAAATTCCATCGCCAACCTTTTCTGACGAATCATTATTTGGAGTATCTTGCGTTTTGCCAGTCTGTTAAAAAAAATATTCAGAGCTTGCTTTTTTAGATTGTACGGTGTATAACATAAGTTTAATCACAAACCTTATCTCCTACGTGATGAAAATCTGCCTCGCGTATCATATTTGGAGTTTTGGCTTTTAATTGACCACTGTACGACGTAGCCAGCACGTGTAAATCCTGACGTTGTCCACGTTCCTCTTCTCTCACTTTCTCCACTTTGCGTTCAAGAATTTGAGACAGTTTAGCCAAGACAGGGAAGTGGGGCAATATTTTTATTAATATTATTAAGGAATTTCTTATTTGTACATAATCCTTGGAATCCAAACAGACTACAATAGCCTAAGGAAAGAAAATTGTAAGTGGCAAGTTTTTGTTAAATTATTATCAATAGTAATTAAGTAAAATTAGTACCTTTGTAATTTTGTAATGCCATTTGTGGCATACATGTCTATAATTTTCAAATCCTACCATGTCATTCGCTTCAGAAAATTGATTGCTGACACGGAATTTCGTTACAAATCCCGGGTAATTGCTACATTCCTAAAATTATTGTAAATATGTAAAAATCTTCTGAATTTATTTATGATATTAAAATAAAATGTTATATACCTTATCAAATATGGCTTTCTCAGAATGCCACCTCATCACTGTTTCTAACATGGCGCATAAAAATCTCCCGTAACGATTTGCCTCGTTTTCGGTACATGAGGTAACTGAATATGTTATATCACAGAAAAGCTGAAAAATTAAATAACAGATAGATTGTTCTTTCTTTCATTTTTCATAAATTTTACTTACTCTGTCGTAGCAAAGAAGGGTTGAAAAATTTGCAGTCTTTAAAGAATGTATAGTGTGAACGAATTTGGCGCAATACATGGCATCCACGGTTGTAAATGTACATCGAGGAAAGAGGCACAATTGCAGAAATTGTGTTATCGTCTCGTTTTTTGCTGATTTTGCGCTCCGGGATAAAAACCATGTATCTTTTTCTTGCCTAAATTAATGATTCATGATAAAATAAGATGCTGAATTTTTTTTAACAATTTTAACATTATTAAATTAATACAATTTTACCTTAGATATGCAAAAACTTTTTCAACGTGCTCCTCCTGTTTTCGCCTCTCGTCTTGCAACTTTTCAATTAAAGTAGTATATCTTTCTTGCTCTTTCTTCCCTTTACTAACATTCTAAAAGGAAATATATCAATTTAGAATCAACGGTTCGAAACGAACCGCTTTCGAACTGCTTTCTTTTTTTTACTGAAAAGGTATTAACACACCATATCTTTGGAATCAGCACTCTGTGCGGCAAGTTGCTTTAATTTATTAATTTCCCTCTGATAGCTCTCAACAGGAACATACAAATCATACATAGACAATGACCAGAATGTCACAAGAAATTGTGGAGAAATATCTTCCCATACTTTCAGAGGATGCAGGGGCCTGACTGATTGAGCAACTGGCGCCATGACTGCTTGCGCAGCCTCTGCGTATTTTGCTTGTTTCATAGCGGTGGACATTTTTTTGTAATTTGGATCAGCTTTCCTCAGGGCATCATACTTAATCTATTAAAAACAGTACATAAAATCAAACCGATACAATAATTAGAAGTTTGTAAAAATCACTTACATTAATGGCATGTGCAAACATTGGTCTTGCAAGAAAAAATGCAACGTCAGAATGTATATGATTGTCCTGAAGCATAGAATGTATGGAAGGAAGTCTCTCCACATATTCGTCCACCGTCATCGTAGATCCCAAAAAGGTACCAAATTGAACTAATGTATCTTGACACTGATCGTACAGTTTTCCTATGATATTAGATCAAATTATACTTCTATAGGATATTAAAAATATAAAATATTAAAAAAATTATTATAATGCTTACCGACAAGTTTAAGGTGAGATTTATCCGTTTCTCTGTACACAACGCAATGTTTCTGCTGTGCCATTAAAAGACACAATGCTACGGCAAGATCGTGTTCAGCAAGAGCTTCTTTTAATCGTTGCGATGATTTCTTTGTATTACGTACTTGACTGAAGTAACCAGCCTGAAAAAATGTTCCATTAATAATTTTTTAGATACTTATATGGTGGTTAATTTAATTACTCGCAAAAGTTACCTCATTTTTCAATAAATCACCACCTGCCATGGCATCTAATTGATCTGAAGTCATCTCTTCTGCAGCTTCAATACCTGCCATTTTTTGTACTATTTCTTTCAGTATTAATAAATCTAGGCTGAAAATGAAAATGAATAATAAGATAATTATTGTTCATCTATAATTTATCATTCCTATTGTGCAACACTATGTGATTCGTATAAGTTAAAAAGAAAAATTGATTTGTGATAAATGAAAAGATTAAAGCCAATATTATATGATGTAATTGTAATAGTCATAAGCTTTTTCCATATTGTGTATCTTTGATATTCGATGTTAGCATAAACCAAC